ACCGAAAATTAAAAAAAAAAAAAATATGATTTTTATAAAAAAACTATAGAAGTTTTTGTATAGTAGACAATTTTATTCCACTGTACTTGGAGTAAAAAATCAGAAGAACATTCAAAAGTGACTTCCATATATCCACCCCTTTCAGATAATCACGCGTTTTTGAGTATCCTCCTTAGAGTGGCTGTTTCAGAGTGGATAAACGGAATAAGCCCAGAATCTTATCAAAAATTCCCCCCTATTCCAAATATGCCTACTGACATATCCCCATGGGTAGAGATTTTCGTTGCGAATACCTTCCCGTGGGGGAAGACCAACGATCCGGCTAGGAGCCCGCCGGATGCAAAGATACTAACATTTTCGGTAAAAAGTCCACACCTTCTATATTCTCTAAATATGTAAAAGCTTTTAGTGTTCTCTATTAAAACCCCAATGTTCGTTAGGCTTACACTCGTACCTACCTATAGTCGAGTACAAGTAAAAGGTTGAGTAAGAACTCTGAAAAGTTAGAATGTTATTACTATTATTCCAACTTCATTCTAATTCTCGTCAGTTAGTTAAAATACACATTTGCTTTTATCGTTACTGTTCCCCAAGTAATAACTTCTATCACTTTAAACTGCAAATAAATGCTCCAGTGCTCCCTATAGTACAATAACCTTTTTAAATGACGTTTAAGATGGGTTTGAGTCTTGCTTCACTTTAAATCATATCAATTCAGGAACCAGGTGATTGTTTGTTTTCTATACAAATTCAAGCGTTCCGTTTTAAGTCTTAGTTTAAAGACAAACTACCCTCCATCGATAGTCAGATTAACATTAGTCCGCAGCATTATTTATTAATTATTCGATGGTTTGAGTGTTACTTATTAATCAAAGAACAAGTCTGATTTCATATTCGTTAAATTATTTTATTCTAGTGGTGCAACAGTCGCTTTAAAGAAGTTGTCCAATAAATAAAACCCATAATTTCACATACATTTATTAGTGTTTAAAATAATATAAATAATATAAAATTGTGGCGGGCATCAGGGCGTCCGCCCTACCTCGTACATGGCACACACGCGCGCGCGCAACCACACGTACATACACTGATACAGTAATATTGCATACAATTATGTAGCTACTTGTGAGACACAGGACTTATAAACATTGATCTATCAAAAATCAAAAGTTATAATCGATAGAAACAATATTTTCTTATAAAATATCATATTTCCGAGTAACAATTGTAATTTTACCACATACAACTTTACACGATAATCCGATAGGATTTCATGTTTCTAATTGTTTATATAAGAATATGACAGACCGCTAATTCAAAAAAAATAACGGCTCTGCAGAAAATCAGGTCTCAATGAGCACAGCTCGTGTCTGTGTGCGTTACGTTTTACAATTTACGTGTGTGACGGTGGCGTCTGCGACGCGCTACTTAAAATAAAACTAATGTTAGTGACTTAACTATTAACTGAACATCCGCTGACAGAGGCTCTGTATTTCCTTCATGATTAACATCCAGTCGGCGTCAGTCCGATAAACCTAAATAAAATCAGTCGCAAACGAATGTCATAGAAAACAATTTATAACTTATACACTAATAATTTGTACTTGTCCACGATAATAAATGTGTTATTATTAGTTATGAATGTAAATAACAAGAAATAAAGTGTTAAAGTAAATCAGTCTCAAATTAAAACCTGCCACATCTAGTGTTGTACAGTACAGTCGGCGGCGGTGGCGGCTTCACTCGTCAACTACGGTCAACTATGCGCTGGGGGCCAATTCTACTAAATATATTTTGTTTAAATAGAATGGAAAACGGATCGAAAACGGACCGAAACCGAACGAAACTAGTTTTTAATGGTTTTTCTATTCTGCTAAGTGACATACGATACAATTTCAGCTAAAATATAACTGGAATTGTATCGTATGTCACTTTGTAGAATAGGAAAGCCATTAAAAACTGTAGTTTTGTTCGGTTTCGATCCGTTTTCGATTCGATTTAAACAAAATTTATTCAGTAGAATTGGCCCCCTGTGCCTAAACGCCGCCGCCGCCGTTAGTGCGCCGGCGCAATCGGATGCGAAACGTACTGACAAGGACACAGGTATTTCATCGAGTCAACAAAAGAGCGAGACAACGCACATGTGATACATTGCCATACAACTGACAAGATTTCGCAAATGTTTTGCATCGATGTACTAACGGCGTAGTCTTAAAGCGGTCCCGCATATCGCCGCACGCCAGAGTATTAAATAAGAAATAAGTACACAGAATACAGTCTTTTCATCAGATCAGAAGACCAGGGCTCTTTGGTAAAAGGTCGACACATTAAACGCGTATAGACAATGAAAACAGAAACAAACACAACATACACATGTAAGTACATACACAATACAACTTATACTCTAGTTGCCTATCACTAACATCAACAACAAGCAAGTGCCACGGCGTCTAACATCGATTATCAGGTACCTATTATGTCCATATTATTGTACTTATAATACTGACTGACGACATAAACAATCCAGAAAAATGTTATTAATACTGTGTTATCCTATTAATATTATAATGTGAAAATTTCTTTGTTTGGATGTTTGTCCATCAATCACGCCGAAACAACTGAACGGATTTTGATGAAATTTGGTATACAGACAGGGTATTAGCTTACTTAGTTAATAGGATACATTTCATTCCACTAAACATTTCCCTGGAAACCGCTGGCGAAAACCAGTAATGATATAAAAATGAAATATGAACAACTTTTGGTGTAGATAAATTCAGGTGATGGGCATATATCGAACATGTTCTATAAACACAAAACACAAATATAAACTAACCATAAATAATTACAAACTGTATATATATATATATATGTATGTCGAGGCCAGATCGTAGAATTGACCAATAGGGCTGTAGACAGCCTTTTTTACAATTTATTTTATAGATATATAGGAAATATATCTAAAAAAATATTTTATTATTAATATCATTCTTATAACAAGATATAATCTGAAAATAAATTTAATTTCCAAAATTTCCTGCGAAAACGCCACTTCTGTCATGGCGTCTATGACGTCAAATATCGTTCTAAGTATATGTCGCAGCCAACTGGTTTGAATCGCGCAATTCAAGTGCATGCCTAGTTTTCTAGTAGAATCATTGTGACATTTTGACCATATAACGAAACGGCCGATTTAAAAGCCGCCAAAACGTCCATTTAGTTTTGTTTATCTGTTAATAAAAATAACCTCTTTTATATTTGATCAATTTCGCATTCACAATGCTATACTGAATAATATTCTTAATTAAAAATCCCATCTCAGGGTGCCAGGGACCAAGTGGATATTTTTCAGTATAGCTGATAATACCACTTGGCTGCGACATATGCATAAGGTTGAATTATCCAAGTTCCGATATGAGAAAGAGGATCTAGACGTCAACAACGAGCATAAAATATTTGATTTTAAATAATTAATTTAAACTACATTTTAAATATTTTTAGGTTTTACAACAAATTAAATAAAGTAGGGTGACCAAGAAATTTAGTGAAATAATTATAAAAGTGTAGTGTGAAGATGAAGTGGCATAGATTATTCTTTAGTTTATGGATATGTCGCAAGATTATGATAAAGGCAGGATTTTCATCTAGTTCGACAGTATGATAAGAATATAAAAGAGGTTATATCCTTCTTTTTTGAGATATGAACAGAACTAAGTTTTCTATGTCATTCACTTCTGTAGGTTACGTGATAGGTTAGGAATGTAAGATCGCGCTTCGCAATCGTCTTACATTCGTTATATTTTTTTTTATTTTAAAACAAGCTTTTGCAGCAAAAAATTATGTTTCTTTTTGGACACCCTACATTAATGATATGACCAAACGTAGATTGGCAAATCATTGAAAGCTGACGCTTAAACTAAATAGATGCATAAACGGTAGCCATTTTATGAAATATAGCCATTTCATAAAATTTCCGGTCGTATCATGAAATGATAATATCAACAATATGGCCACAACATACATATGTAGGTAATACTCAGAAGCATACATGAAAAAATTCATATCAAAAAAATAAAATGTATATTAAAAAACTTTGTGATCATTTTCCTGTGTAAATTCCTATACAATTTTTGGTAATAAATAGTTTTCCTACTTTCTTAATCAAAATTGATTCAATGATGTATTCCGTTTAAATTTGACATTATTCAGTTGGAGATGACATTAATTTAGTTCTATAGTTAAAAGGCAATTCAATGATATCTCTCAGAGAATAATGATGAGGAACAATCGTCGAAAAATAAAATATCATATAAGCACTTTTCACACAATACAGAATACTATAGTGTCGCCAGATGCACTGTATTCACTGTATCTTTTCATCATCTATCTCGTATTTTTTAAATAAATATACAGTATATGAGAACACTGTAATTTATTTAAGTAACTCGAGGGCAGCCATCAATATCATAAATAGTTAATCAATATCATGAATGCCCTTCGAATGCAACGCAAAACGCAATATATCTTATATTTTTGTCATAAACATTGTATTATTATTAACCTCCACAACACATTTATCCTCATTTCCTTCATCTGGCAACACTATTTTTATATAACATCAGATTCACATGGGACTTCAGTAAAAAGAGAAAATAATTTTTCTCGTCAGACGACGCCCGGGGATCCGTCGGAGCGCATACACTCGAGCGGGCACATACTCGCTCGTATAAGTAATAAATAATTTATATCAACATTAATGCTTATATCTAGCGCACGTTCGGGGACGTCACTATCTTAATGCTACGTTAATTTTTGTGAAACTACAAGTTAACGTCCGTATCGATCGACGTTATCCTAGGAGATAGTTAGACACACATGTATATTTTAAAAATATTATAGAAGTAAAAGAGATTCCGATCGAAGAGAGGGGTCGATAAACGAGCCATTCCGACGGGGTTCAGTCTTCGCCGATACAGAATGCGGGCGCCCCCGGGCCCCGCTCACGCCTTGTACCCGGCGCGGGGCCGCGCGCGCACGGCCAGCGCCAGCGCCAGCAGCGCGGCCAGCGCGTGCACCCCCAGCAGCGCCGCCCCCGCCCACAGCGGCCCCCGCGCCCCCGCCCCCAGCGCGCGCAGCACCCGCGGCCCGCACGCGCGCGCGTGCAGCCCCGCCCCGCGCCCGCCCGCCGCCGGCACGCGCCGCGCCGCCGCGCACGCGCCCGCCTCCGGGCTCTGAGTGTAATTATCGCGGTTTCGGTTTACATCTCGTTCTTTCCGCCCGTCCGAGTCCGGAAGACCGTGCCCTCCTCGTTTCCGATTAATTTTAGCAAAAAAAATGCACTATATCGGAAAGGATGCGTCGTTCCCGATTATATATAATGACAAGTTTCGTTTGTATCGATATAAAAAAGGTGACCTGTTCCCGTCGAAAAAACAACTCGAAACACCCACCGTCTAGTCTGGTATATTTCGGAGCCGCTCCGTCAAATCGTAGGAACCTCCCCCGCGAATGACGAACTGCGATTCGATAAAACCTCCGCTCACCTGACAGCACGAGGCGGGCACCGAATAGTACCGGGCGGGCGCCGACACGGACAGATCTAGAACCTCCGGAGCGGCCTCCGCCTCCGCCTCCCCCGGCGCCGCCCCCGCGCCCCCGGCCCCCTCCGCCGTGCGAGCCCACACCGAGCTCTGCCAGTCCCGGATGTCGCTAGATCCACAGCACTCCAGCTGCACAAATAACGAACCTATGATCGAAATCGATGTGTCTTCTTTCGAGTTCGGTGTCTTTAGCTCTCTATCATCTCTGACTCGTTACCGAGCTGCGCCGCCAGATCGATGTCGGCGCAGGGAATCCCCGAGAACTATCGTTTTACTCCGAAGCCACGTAAGTCGTCTATTTGTCCCTATTTCCTATCAGCCTGATAATAACGGATTAAACAGATCAAGAACTCATTTCAAACCGGTGTGACCTGAATACTTATTGACCGATCTATTAAAATCCAAAAGCGACCTAGTATATTTATTCATGGTATATTATTCGTTAGACATATCGTAAAGAAAACCGTCGCCCGCACCCCCTGCTGGATGGCATCGACGAGGTGCGTTCGGGCGGGCAGCACCCCATAATCGTATCGCACGGTGCGGTCGAGACGCTGCAGCAGCGCCGCCCGCAAGTGCGGCAGATGCGCCGCCCCCCACCACGCGGCCGCCGCCTCCGCCGCCGCCGTGAGCGCCAGCAGCGCCACCGCCGCCGCCAGCAGCGCGCCCGAGTTCCGCGCCGCGCCCGTCAGTGACGCCAGCGCCGCCAACGCTAGCGCTCCGCCCCACACCGCCAGCGCGCACAGCCCCGCTCTACCCGATGAAGTCTCCCCCGCGCCCCCCTCCCATAACGCCCACGCCGCGAATCCGCACGCCCCGCTCCCGACGCACTGCAGAGCAGATCCATTTTTAAATTCCAACGCGAGATGTGTGTTAGAAGTTTGGCCGTCCTGCATGTCTGTCTGTTTGTATGTGGCACTGTTTATCAGAGATCATATTTGGACACAATAGTTCTTAGACGGCGGCGGTGTTTTATTGAAATCTGTGTAGATTTTTAATTAGTATAGGAGAGATATGTCAATCCCCATATTTCTAATAGATTTTTTGTCCAATATACTCAAATGGGGTATTAAATGAAAGGCAAGATATGTACATATTACAAATGTATGGTCCATTTGGTATATTGAACTGAAATAAGTAAGTAATACACTTCAACACTGTTTGCTTGTAACTTAACTCTTATTTATTTTAAATTATATTTTGCAATGTGTCTATATTGAAGGAAAAATTATTGTTTATCCGATCACCAAACCGATCAAGCATACTTTCTTACACCATTATTTCAGCATTAGGTGGGTGCCTGAACATTGATGAGAATGCACTCTGTAGTAGCAAAAAGTAACAAGTGCTTGAGAGATTTGTCAGTCCTGTTAGGTTCTGGGTAACTCAGCGGTTAGAGCAGTGGGTTCGAATCCTATCCCAGGGTGCCAGGGACCGAGTGGATTTTTTTAAGCATTTTGTATTAAGAATATTTTTCAGTATTGCATTGTGAATGTGAAATTGATTAAATATAACTATTGTTAATAGTTAGCAATTAAATATATATTTTTTTGTATTTAGTAATGGAACTGTCAGGTCTATTAGTTAAATAAGTTATGATTGTATTTAAATTGTAAATAATTGTTTGTTTTCCTAAATAAATAAAATTAATATTTTATTTATTAACAAAGAAAAGTACATCAAAGCCTAAGCCTTGATTATTAAAGAAACAACAAAAACACGCCAATGAGATTTAAATGATCAGACTGACTGAATGACCTAACCTAACCCACCAGTACACAAAACCAAAAATATTATTGTAATTATGTGAATATTGCATTTAGAGTGCTAAAAATACATAAAAAAAAAGAAACCATTTGAGGTACCAAGAAAACATTAGTAATTCTAGAATTTCGAAAATACGTTTAATGAATTCGTAAATACGACCAATCAAGTCCTTCCATCAATACTGCCTATTTCAGCATCGTCATCATCGCTTTTACGTCCCCACTACAGGAAGTCAGGCCTTCCTCATGGATGGTTAAGGAGGATGAACCATGACCCTCCACACTGACCCAATGCAGCCCAAAAACTGCGGCCGGGACCAGCGGCTTAACGTGCCTTCCGAAGCACGGAGTAACTAGCACGGAGATAGTAATTTTTTGTCCACCCGTCCCATGACCGACCCTTGCGAAAGTTGCTTAATAACAATGATCACTGACCGGGGCGCTTATCCTCTACGCCACCGAACTTCTTTATCGACTATTTAATTGAAGTTAATTATGTAGTGCTATTAGATTCTTACCAAAAATATTATGTTAAATAGAATCAGCAAACATTTCATCAATGAATAACAACGTGACATCGTCATGTTGTTTTATAAAGATCTGCATTCACAATTAACGAAAGTTTCATTCACGTTTTATTCATTCAATTCTTTGGAAAACAAACGAAAACAATTGGGTTCGTCTCTCAGCCATGTTGTTATAATTTTTTTTTTTTTTCTTTATTGAAGCTTTGGCGACACTGACCATCAGCTTAAACATTAAATGTGAAAAGAAATCTTAACAGGATTATACTACAAACTAACACAATGAACTTAAATAATATAATAAAACTTACAGTAAAACTAAACGAAAAACACACATTAATAATAAAAAATACAAACAACTTTTTATATATATAAGTACACTAAATTTAAAGTTATAAGGGACCAAAAGTATTGACATAAAAATTATAAATAATACAATAAATCTCTTGTATCTTCAATAACTCTTTTACATTTAAAGGAAAATTTTTGGAAGGCATTGTTTCAGAAAATAAACTAATAAACAGAAGGCGTTGTATATTGAAATATGGACAATTAAAAAATAAATGATCAAGATCGCAATTTGTGAAGTTACAATATTTACAAATGGCGTTGTTACTTAATCTAAGACGGTGAAGATGAGATGGAAATTTACAGTGACCTATTCTTAATCTACAGAAGCTAGTTATAAATTGCCTACCGAAGTATTTTGATTTTTCAAACCAAGCTGTAGTGTTGGGTACAGGTACAATCTCGGCATGCCATTTACCTTTAGTTTCGCGAAAATTATCTAATGATAAACACCATCTTTTGATCATGTTGTCTTTCAAATAAGTGATTAAATCACATAAAGGAATTTTATAGTCGTTTATTGTAATAATGTTTGGAGCAGAACGTGCAAGTTTATCTACAAACTCGTTACCAAAAATACCAGAGTGTCCTGGAACCCAGCAGAACTCAATTACAATATTAATGTTTTGTAATGATACTACTAAGTGTCTTAATTCATAAAGAAGGTAATTTTTATTAGAATTTATACTTTTTTGTTCTAGAGCTTGAAGTGCACTCATTGAGTCACAAAGAATTAAAAATTTTGATGAATTTAGAAAATTTGAATGAGGAAGTATTTAAAAAAAATAAAGAATCTACAAAAAATTATGTTACTAGATGGCAGCACAAATTGTTGGATCTCACGAATGTCAATTTAAACTGGATTGTGCAGTGTTTCATTAAAAACGGGCAGAGTGAGAGAGTAAATTAGTAACTCTCCATCTCTGTCTTAGTAGTTTTGTAGGATGTCCACGCGTTTTTAATAATTTCATAAATAGGTAATATTTAATAATGTTTATATGACCAAATTTAAACATTTACAGATATAATTTTATAAATTTTTACAGATATTATGAATGATGATGTTAGAAATTTAACCGATAAATTAGTTTTTATTTATCGGTAAAGATATTTATTTTGTAGGAAATAAAACAAGTACATAAATGTTATTATAATCATCTATAATGTATAAATCAATTAAAAGGATAGAAATGTTTTTTTTCCTATTAATTGTATTAGAATACAACGGATCACTTTGCCTGGTATTATTGTCCTCCATTTTTCAGCTAGACTTTTATCCTTTAGGATCCTAGAAACATAAGAGCAATTTTGTCATGGTCAGCATAAGAAAATTATTACTTTATAAATATTTATCCAAACTAATGTGTAGGCCATTCCGATATTTTCCAAAACATAATTAAGCTAGTTCTCGTTTTTCATTTTCCAAATAACTTTGTACCTACCGTGAAAATATTGATAACGAAGAATGGCGGGTAGCGTAAGTAAAACTTATAAATGTTTATAATATAAACGTATGAATATTAATTTAAATCAAAGCCTCTTTGATATGGTTTTGTTTCTTGATCGTAGACACCCTATTTCATCACTGTTTAATAAATAAGGAAAACAGCTTACCTGTGGAATGTGAAGTCACATTCGTGATACCATTCATTTTTGCAATCAGCCAAGCAAAACAATATACCATTTTGATGTAAATAATCGAATTAGTAAGTCAAAACACAAATAAACATTAAACTTTAACATTGTTTATGTTGTCACATCGAGCGGCCATATTAATTTATAATATTGCTACTTAGATGTAACGAAAAACTACTAACACGACATCGGTTTACATTATAATTTTAATTAATTCACACTTTTACTTAAAAAACATATCAACTATGTCTATTCAATATATTTACTAATAGATAATAATTAAAATTACCTAGTCTTGATGTCTTTAAAAAATCAATAAAATCTCCTAATTGCCAATAACAATTATTTAATTTTCCAATGGCAACTCGTTAGACAAGGACCTACTAGAGTCTGGCAAGCGAAACGTGTCACAAGAAAAGGGCGGCAATTTCAAAAATTCTTAAGCAGTAAACACTGAATGTAGTACTGCAAAATAATTTTGATACTTTTATTAATTATATTTAATCTTAACATTTAGATATCAATTAAAATTATTTGTTTTGGAACATTTGACTAAAGCGTGACTGTTCTTAATTGTACAGTTAACAGCATATCAGTAGGCCTATTCACTAACTCAACTGACAACCAAGAATCGTCATCACCGTAAAAAATAGACACTTTGATTGTGTCAAAATCACTATTTCGTATTCTCTATCAATGATGAGCAATTTCGAAATGTCAATATCGGCATTCTCCACTGGACTCCATTTTGACACTTGATTTCGTATCGATAAACTGTATTAAAGTAACATTGTTGCAAAGCATATTTGAAGTCGTCGCATAGTACCTCTTAAGCCATTTGTTGTTAAATTAAAGCGAAAAAAAATACGTATCCAATATTTTTCTATTATCTGACTGACGGACTAAATCGAATCTTTTTTTTAACCCATTCGTTATACCTATTGGCTAACAGCACTTATAATATTAAAAATTCATATTTGTCATTAATTAAAAGGGTGTTTTTTGCAACGACTTCTTTGTTTTTTTGTAATGAATATGGGCGACTCTTGTTTTTTTGTAATGAATATGGGCGACTCTTGTTTTTTTGTAATGAATATGGGCGACTCTGGCCACATTTTTTTAATAAATGTGATGTTAGCCAATTTTGATTTCTGGCCCTTATATTTATAATGTGTTCATAACACATACATGTCTCCTAAGGGATTTTCATCACAACCTTTTGCTCTGATCCAGAACCACTATCTATCAAATTAAATTAGTCAATATAAACACCAGATTACAATAAAAAAAACATTTATTTTTGTTACAATTAAGTGCCATGGATAAATTACATAATACAGGTGTCACAAAATCATCATGTTAATCACAATAGAAAATTTAAGATAAGATTTTGACTATGAATCAGACTAAAAATACTTTAGTCTGATTCATAGTCAAAATCTGTTTCTAAATATTCTACACCTGATAACAATGACAAGGAATCATCAGAGTCACTCTCTTCACTACTGTCTGCACCAACAGATATAATAAATTTTTCAAGTTCGTTTTCAACAATGCCATCTTTTAATTTGTAATCATTTTCGACATTTAAAACATGATCAGTGTATTTCTTCCAGTCACTAGGGGTAATTAAGTTAAAACACTCTATTATAAAGTTTTCCATTTCCTTTCCTGGTATTCCAATGTTTCTGCTTGCAATTTTTCTTTTTGCTTGACTCCAAACCATCTCTATTGGGTTTAAGTCACAATGATACGGTGGCAGCAATAAAAGTTCATGATTATGTTCTTTTAAAATCTCTTCAGCTTCATATACAGGCAATGTTTTCTTATCATTAACCAAACACATTAACTCTGCCTTTGTCTGATATTCCTCAAAATGTATTCCATTATTTACAAGCCATTTACGGATATCTGCTTTGGTATTAGACATTATAGGCGGTTTATTGATTTGTTTTATATGGTAGCTGGCATTATCCATAACAATTACACTGGGCTTACTTAAATTTGGTATTAATTTTTCTCTGACCCATTTCATAAAGTTCGATGAGTTCATATCATCATGATAATCAGCAGATTTGGATTTACTACTGAACACTAATAATGCACCAGGCACAAAACCTTCCTCAGATCCAGCATGCACAACAATATGCCGTTTTCCAGAGGATATCTTTGTAGTGACACCAGTTGTTGAAGGTCCTTGCCAAGACTTTTTAACTTTATAATTCTGATGTACATAAGTTTCATCAAGGTACACAATTTGCTTTCCTTCGTTTCGTTTTATATTTATTTCTCTCAAATACTTGTGCCTCCATGCAGAAATCTGGTATTTTTCTATAAGCATAGAACGTTCATTTTCATTGCTTTTAAAAGAAAATCCATTCTTAAGCATAATTTTTCGTAAAGTCTCATGGCTACCACTGAATCCTATTGCATCTTTTAATTCATTGTGAAGGCTTCTTAATGTTGGAACAATTTTTTTCACACAGTAAAATTCATTTACTTTATTCCGAATTGCACTTAAATCAAAATTATCTAAAGCAGACACTGTTGGTTGATGAGGTCGTTTTTTCCCAGGAGTGTCCCATTTTCCTTTATTAATTAATGCTTCATTTTTTATCCTTCTTAGTGTCCTTATACTTACATCTATAAAAGATTAAACACTTTGAAACAAAGATATGTTAAATGTATTTAAAAGCAAATAATGATAGACACATACATCAAAATAATTTAAATACCTATTCAACTATGAATGCAATTTATGTTTAATTTAGTTAAGTTTATGTGCATATTTAGCATGTATAACAATTACATGGTTTGATTAGTTTCATGAATTCTGTGAATTTCCTTGTTAAACAAAACATTCTTATGACATCATTGGATGTCAACAATAAAAACCAATACATCATAAAAAACCTATGTAAATATTATAGGAATACTATCAATCTATCTTAAATCAAAACAAGAAAAGAGACCTGTCATTGAAGAAATTTTTTGTAAGTACTGCGTTTCCGAATTCAGCATTTCTTGTTTTTCTAAAGTTTTTATTGCATTTATCTCCTCCATTATTGGTTGAATATCACCATCACAGTTATCTGAAATAGAGCAATATTTTATAAAAAATATCTGTTTAGTTAATTACAGAAAATTAAAACGAAAGTATCAAAATTATAATACAAAACTAACCTAAAAAAGATACAACTTTATCTAATCGTTGTAATTTCTCCATGAAATTTTTATTTAATTCAGTTTTCACTTCAGTAAACTTGTCAATCATGATGGAAAGAAGTTTCCTCGATGAACTTTTTATCGGCTTCGACATAATTTTTAACCAAAAACACAAGTTCAAATTCGCAAAAACAACAAAATTCAATATTCTTGAATTGTCTAACGTAGTGTCAAACTGACAGTTCTATGTTGTTGCCATATGAAAACGGAAAAATAGGTGGTGTCACGTTTCGCTTGCCAAACTCTACTACAAATCTAATATCTCTAGTAGACCGTTTTTCTACTCTGAAATGTGACATAGAAAAATAAACCTTATTTTATATTAGATAAAGTGTAAGTTTGATTTTAAGAAATATATCAGTACGCAATCCAGTTTAAGTTGACATTCGTGTTGGATCTAAACGTCAATTCATGACGTTAAACCAAAGAGAATAGATTTGTTAGTGTAGTTATGGATCTGATAACTTGGATTAATATCGAGTTGAAATTTAACTAGTTCGAGTTATGCAATCGCAACTCGATTAATACAAAGTAATCTTTGAATAAATTTATTTTTTATTTGTATAGAGGAAAATGGAAACTAACATAATGGAAGTGAGCACAGAGGCTTTTTAAATTTATGGAAATCAATTGAATGCTGTGATATAATTAAAAGTGGCATCTAACTACGGTATACAATAATATTACGTTTTATAAATAAAATAGGTACTTATGTCATAGTAGGTCTAGGAATTTTCATTTTAATATTTAACAAAAGTTCTGAAAAAATAACAACTAGGTTAGTTTTATTGCTATTAATTGTTTGTTGAACTTACAACAACAAAACTATATCAATTCTCAATATTTTTTTTTATATTATGTATGGTGAATGAATGAATAGGGTTTATTAATCAGCACAAAGTCATAAAAACAATAATTTTTAGGAAAAATCCGTTTATTATCTATAAACTTACCCGATATGTATCAAATATACTATATATTTGTACAAAATAACATAACTGCTGGCTAAAATGACGTTTGTGCAAAGTGTAACGTGCAAATAACTTGTGCTTTCGAAATTAAGACTTTATAAAACTATTATCAGTTATTAAATCTTATATTCATAATTAAATCATCTTAATAAACATTCAGCAATTAACAAGAAACGTCTGCTCTAAACGAACAGCAAGGTTGTAACTTTAAATTTCAAATGTCAAAGACACGTACAGTTATTATATTGCTACTGATCTTGCATGTCGACGGCGGACGTCGAGCCATGTGTTAAGTTAATTCGTACGGCGGGTTTGTTCTTTTTGGTTCTTACAATAATATTGTTAATAATAATTTGAATTCCTACACAACCTACTCTAGAAATCCGTTTTATTGAAATATATTATTTACTAAGTACCTAGAGTTGTTATGGTCTCTTAAAATCTCTGCGGTGGTATCGTGTGCGTTAGGTGGTTACGATCCCTCAAATATAGTATAGTTGAGTTGTTTAGTTGAAATTAAAAAAGCAGCCCTTGCTGAGTTTCTTGCCGTTTCTTGTCAGTAAGAGATCTCCCGCCTTAGTTTTGCGAACCATTGGTAAAGTTTTCGAATCCACAAGTACTATGTAACAGTCTAGATTGAATTGATTTTGATATTTATATTAATATCATTCGTTTTGTGGATGCATAATGACACTTCATCTTCATCATCATTTTTGTTCTCCATTCCAAACCTGAATTCGACGAAAGTTACGAGCAACCAATAAGTCGGCCATCACTAATGTTGACGTATCAACCAAACATCGTTCCTTTACACGTAACATAATAAACAAGTTAAACTTACAATTAAAATTAGTTTGAAAGTGAGACATTATAAGAAACACAAAACGATGTCATATTTATTAATCGAAAATACTCAATTTACTTTTATTACGTCAGAAATAAAGTTTGAATGAATATCATAAACAAAATCCAAACATCGCGAGGGACATCTGGTATGATTTCAAGAACTAATTTTTATTTTTAAATACTTCCTCATTTGCCTTTGCAGTATGTACTAGTGATGTGCCGGATCGTTAAAAACGTATATTAAAAACGTCGACTGTCGTACGTGGCATTTTCGGGCCGTAAGAGTACACAAATAAAAATGATTTGGCGATCGCTTTTTTAGCTTCCTTTCTTTGAGCAACATCATGAATTGTTATTAAAACCATGAATGACGCTTGACTGCAGACGGACTGTAACGACCACACACAACTAGGGTTTAAAGATGATTGTCATCAAAGATAATATGTGATACTGGGACTGTTTTCATATTATATTAGTCTATGTATAATTATAACGTTTTGTTTTTTTCTTTTAATTTGAATTTTTAAACTTTTGTTCTGTTTGTTTGAGGAATATTTTGGAATTAAAATAATTGTTTATATGTTATTTTTTCTATTTATATATTTTCATATTACCTAATTATATAATTAATGTTCTGCGTACCCACAGGCTCTGCCAGAATACCAGCGTTAGTGTGGCACTCCGGTGTGTCATGTTTACATCAGTTGAGGCAGTGTCTTGATTAATCTCTTTAAAAGTATGTTATTTTCGTATCTTATGTATTATGTGTTCCTTTAATGTACGTTTTTGTTGTCTTGTTTTTTGTTCTAATTTTGAGATCAATAAATGTTTCATATTCTTATTATGTACTACAGGTATAGTAACTAACTACGATAAATTTTTGCAATATAAAGGTACCAAATATTTGATTTTAAGAAATAAAAAAGCTTAACAAATTAAAAGATCCGTAAACGATCCGCGAGAAAAGTAATCTTAGTAATCTTAAAGTAAACGGATACGAATCTTTATTTTCCCTCGGGTATCCTCGGATACGTATACGGCACAAACTACATAGGTCTACGTATATAACATAGGTATACGGATATAACTAATATCACTAGTATGTACATATGAAGGGTCCCAATCTTGATAACTGTAAAACATACTTTTAATTTGTATTTTTACCCGGTCGGTTTTACCTGTTTTGTAGATCTTAATTAATAAAATTAAAAAAATTCTCCGAGGTAAATACAATATAAGTTTATATAACAATATTTTAAACAGCCTGTGACAACGGCTTACGAAAACTTGCTAGATCTATAAATAGTCTGCGACGCGAACGCGAACCGAACGCGAACGAACAACATTGCTGTCAGCGAACATGGAATGTCTCCCATGAAAACATAAATAAATGGCCACCGTTGTTATTACGTTTTTCCTCTTCACGCGATTTTGTGTTTATAAAATGGATGCCGACTTCTTAGATAGGCGAAGGTAAAGCTTTATTTGTACAATAAGAAAATGTTATTTCAATTTGCAAAATAGTGTAACAAATTAAAATTAGGTCGTTGACAGAAAGTTTCGCGCCACTGTTCAGTGCTTCAGCTTTCAGTTGTGCCTGTGTCGTCCTGCAGTAATGTTACTATCAAAAGGACGCTATTTTCAGGAGTGGAGAAATATCGCAACGCGAGAAAAGGTGGAGCATGAATTCACAAAGACTCGAAGAAATTGTGGCGGAGCTGATGAAGCCTATCAGCGACGTCCGCCGCAGCTTCGACACGGACCTCAGCGCGGTAAGCATTCACCTCTACATAATGATTTGCAAAGATAATGTTTACTAGATAATTGTATTAACTCATTCACATCACATTTCAGTTATCATTTATATCTTGCACTTATATTGTACCTAATCAATCTATAATGGTCCCACCATAAAATATGTTATTGCATGTAACCAATGGTTTCTAAAATTATTATATTAGAAACTTAATATTCTTAACCTCATTAAACGACAGCACAAGTGCAGAAAGATTGCAAGGCTTATGAAAAATATCATTACAGAACTATTTGTATTGGTTTTAAATATGTTGGATAAATGTATCTTAAGTTGTAGTGTTTTTTATTTGTATACCAAAGTTTATTCAATTATTTACCTAAATGAATACATACAAACAACTTTTACTATTTATGAACATTCAAAGTTGTAACAAAAATATTAGGAGTCATATTACATTTCACCTGTGATTTTTGCATAAAATGGTAAATTTTGGCTCTTACTCGCAAACTATTATGATAATTGTTAAAGTGCTGCATAAAATTTTCAGCTATAAAGTGATTTACATACTTATAATTTCTTCTTCTATAATAGGATTTTATTACAAATAAAAATGTAAAAAATAGTATTAATTCCGGTGTAACTTTGTTATTTATTCTCTACCAATAAATTCAAAAAATGATGTTTTGGCTATGATAGGACCCTTGGATAAATTATAATTAAGACATTATTTCTTCCAGTATTAATCATTTAGTACAAAAGTAGGTGAAAGTTAAGTACTGTAATAATGATACTGAATTTTTATCACTGAATAGTTATGTTTGGGAAATGGTAATCATTTTTATAGTTAGCATAGTTAAGAAACTGAGCTATTAAAATTTCCAACATTTTGGAATAAGCCTTGTCATCTATCACTCATATCAACCACGTAACTCAAATACACAATCATTGCTCACGCATACACAAATCTCACACAGCTTAACCATAGTATAACCAAAATAAGTAGAGTGACTCAAGTCCCGAGCGAGAGAAAATAGCCTAAACATGTAGGGCTGTTGCTTATAGGTTATTTAATTGTCAGAAATGCATGGTCAATTAATCGCTATAAAATATAGTTTTTCCTTGTATGGTAAGCATCAGGAGACTTTAATATGATGTTTTAAATATATATATATTTTTTTTATATATTCATACCTAGGTTATATTTAGAGTTTTGGATAATTAAAATGTAGTTTTAATGAATCATTTATTTATTTATTTTTTTCAAATAATCAGACTCACTTCACATTAGGTACATAATAGATACAGAAAAAAAAACTGCCTGTTTCGACAAGTAAAGTAAACTACAAATTGATATCTATTAACTGTTGTGAATCAGTCCTCAAACAGCAGATTTAAGTGGAAGTTATCCATATTAATATTAGGAGAACAAAGGCAAACATATCATCTTGAAAACGAGAGAGATAGATGGTAAAACAGCAGGGTTGCCAACAGCCTTAGCCTGAATATTATATATTATATTAAATATAATTTCAATCATAATAGCCTAAAGTAGCCCAAACACAAAAAAATATTTTTATAGTAGTTTTCATCAATTTATTTATAATATACGTTAATAACACAGTCATCAGAAGGCATAAGCCATCTTTAAGACACATTAAATTAAATGTAAGTTTTAATTTAATGTGTCTTAAAGATGGTAAAAACTACTAAACAAATTAACAAAAATTAGGACTATTCTGATTCATCCTCTGCTAGCAATAATAAGGCATAAACAAGACTTTCGCCACCTCCCTTGCTGTATAATATCTTTCTGATGATTTTTTGTGTGTGACTTTTTAGTGAGTTTTTAGCTCAAGCCACTTGTCGACGTTTGTTTTAACAGCTGAATGAAACGCCAGCCATCTAGTTGTGGATGGCTAAGTTGTTTCATGGGTTTTTTACCATCATTAATGGTTTCAAATAAGGTTTGATATATTTGCACTCACAATGGTCTATGGGCAAACCAATTTCTGGTTTCTCTAAGTAAATATTCCAGACAAGAAAGGCAATTTTATGCATGCTTTGTAGGCACATAAACTAAGGGAGTTTCACACGCATTTCAATAGCTGTAAATTATGTATATCTGCTTGTAATAAAGTGAAAAAGGAGTTATGTTTGCCACAAAGATTACTTGTTCCACCAGTTCCTATTGCAATTAGATTTTGAAGGGTCAAACCTATTTTAGACATTAAAATCTTAAAGGATTTATAAAGGCTGGTAGCTGTTGCTTCAAATACTTCTTGATAGCCTAAAAAATCAACAACAATTTTTCCTAGTTTTGAATTATAGATGCAATATGCCATGCACTTTTCTGTGGTTACATTGTGATATACATATATATTACATTGATACATTCTTATTTATTGTGGTCAAAGAAGATAAAGTTAATTACTTGAATTTCAAAATTAGGGGGAAACATTCAACGGAAACATTTCTAGTGCACAACGCCAGATCAATTAAAAATTTAGACCTTACAAAACAATCCGTTCGATTTTCTAATAGGTGGTGGATCCATTAATTCGTTCGGTTTTTGAAGGCTAAAACGAAACAAGTTTTTTTCATACAAAGGATGAATTTTAATCCATGATATATTCTCCGTTTTTGTTGACGACCTCTTGCCATCTTTCCACCAATTTCATTATTCCGCTCTCATAGAAAGAAGGTCTGGGACTTAAAGGCGAAAAACTGGTCGAGGTACATTTTCACAGCTGTCTGATCAGCGAACGATTTCCCGTTGAGGGAGTTTTGCAGGGACAAGTAGTAGTCGGATGGCGCAAGGTCTGGTAAATACGGTGGGTGGGGCAAAACATCTCGGCCAAGTTGCACTAATTTTTGCTGAGCGATTATTGCGGTGTGGGGTCTGGCATTGTCGTGATGGAATATGACACCTTTGCGATTGACCAGTTCTGGACGTTTCAATTCAATTTCGTTAGCTGCGTGCAGTAGACATTTGAATCCATTGTTTTTCCCTGAGAAAGCAGCTCGTAAAAAAGCACACCACGATAATCCCACAATATGGATAGCAAAATCTTCTTCGGATGCAGGCCGGCCTTCGGGGTGGCATTCGGCGGCTCACCAGCGGTTCTCCACGATCTCTTACGCACTATGTTGTCGTAGATGATCCACTTTTCGTCGCCAGTCACTATTCATTAGAGAAACGGGTCGCTTATGTGCCGCTTCAGAAGTGAATTGCAGATGGATATGCGGTTGGCCAGGTTCTCCTCGGTCAGCTTGTGCGGCACCCAAACATCGAGGCGTGACACGTAATCAAGCTGTTGCAAATGCCTTTGAATGGTTCCATAACCTATTTTAAGGGTCTCCGCAATCTCTCGCATCGTCCGCTCTTGCTCAACCAGTGCCTTGATATCATTCGAATCAACCTTGGTGGGCCGACCGCTGCGGGGTCCATCTTCAAGACTCGTATCTCCGGAACGAAATTTGGCAAACCATTTCTAAGCGGCACGTTCTGTTAAGGCATCGTCCCCGTATACGCCGCATATTTTTCGGTGAACCTCCGCAGCTCGCTTGCCTTTCTTGAAGTAATAAAGCAAAATATGCCAAAAATGCTCTCTGTTTTCCGACATGTTCACAGGCCTGTAGAACAGACAAAACTAATGCCAATGAAACCAAATTTGCCAGATGAAAAGAGCGGACCGTCACCTTTCCTTTGAATGGCCCGAATAGGCAACCAGAACCGAAAATATGCAGAAAAAAATTGCACTGCTAACAAAAACTGAACGAATATATGGATCCACCCCAATATAATAATTGCGATAAAAATCAGGAAATGATAATAATAAAATCGTAAAAAAATAGTATGACAAGAAACCCATTTTCCCTTATTTCGGCGACTTCTACCCTAAACGTGACCATTTTTTCCCTTAATAGCTGAAAGCATATTATATATAATCATATGCAAAAATTGCATTTAGCAACATAGTTTATCTAGTATTTTGTATGAAGTGGCTGAATTTAGGAGAGGGCCGAAATAAGGCGCTGTCACCCTATGGTAAGAGTAGGTGGCAACCAGATCATATTTCTTACTAATTGTGCAGTTTCACCCCCAGTTTTTCGTTTGATAAATCTACTGTCAACAGTCAAATAAAATGTCATCTCTATTTATTGTGATATAAAGATAGGGACAGATTTAGTTTTTAATCGATTGTTAACATTGACACGCATCTTAAACAGAATGGGGCAAATATTTAAAAAAATAATTGTGTAACTAAAAACCATGAATTCTATTTTAGTCTAGTAGTAGTAAGACGATGTAGCAGATAAATACATCACACAAAACATTAATATAAACTTTTAATTACTTTTAGTAGTTTTTATTTGCTTTTAAATGCTGGTAGTTTTCCTATTCATCATGATGCTTTATATATTTACCGTGTTTGCCCATTTTCCACAAAAAGTCTTTGAAAAACAAATAAAAGTAAAATAGCTTTGAAATTATACAATATTGCACAGGACAAGTTGTACAAAGCGAAAGTGATAAATTAAAACCGGAATTTATCTGATATATTTAGACAGTATAACACAGATAATTGCCGTAGTCATTATTCGCAATAGAATACATGTAACTCTTTTGCATTATAAATTTCGTCCGTCGTCTTTTAGATGTTTTGTCTCCGTTTCTCGTTCTGAGTAGCCTAAATGGCGAAAAATCGCCTACGTTGGCAACACTGTAAAACAGAACACGTCTAACTAAACACAGTAGCGCCCTCTGTGTACAAGTAGTGTATGTCTATAAAAACAGATTATTTAACTTCATCATCATATCAGCCGAGAGACGCCCACTGCTGGGCATAGGCCTCCCCCAAAGATCTCCAACGTGATCGGTCTTGCGCCTCCCGCATCCAGCGGCTTCCCGCGACCTTCACCAGATCGTCGGTCCACCTTGTGGGGGGCCTACCAACACTGCGTCTCCCGGTACGCGGTCGCCACTCCAAGACCTTACCGCCCCAACGGCCGTCAGTCCTGCGAGCGATGTGCCCTGCCCATTGCCACTTGAGGTTCGCAATTCTTTGGGCTATGTCGGTGACTTTCGTTCTTCTGCGGATCTCATCATTTCGGATTCGAGCTCGCAAAGAAACCCCGAGCATAGCCCTTTCCATTGCCCTCTGAGCGACTTTGTAATTTAACTTAATAAATTAAAAATACATTCAAGTATACATTTCTTATTTACCAAGTAACCGAAATCTTGTGCAGAAATAATTCATAAAAGTCATTTGATAAGTAAATAGCTACACAAAATTATAATTACGTATGATATTTTAATATTTATAACTCGATTTATAAAAATGCTAAAAGCACCCTTATAAATAAATAAATGCCATCTACACAGTGAATGAATATTTTAGATAAACTGTAACTAGCCCTCTTCTTTCCATCTATCCATATTGCCATGCCTATCGAGGTGCATGTGAATATTATTAACGGATATTTGTGTATTTAGTTTCTAAGTCACATGCTTAGAAACCAACACTCTTGTTGGTTGGTCAGAAACAATTCACATGTTTCTGAGCATGCGAATTAAAAAGTAAATACACAAATAGCTCAATCGGCATTTTTTTTTCTTTCTATTTTCAACACAAAATAGTCTGCCTTCTAAGAATGGGGCGAGATAATGCACACTAACTAAAATATTACTACTAATGCATTTCCGTAGCATGTGACTATGAACGCACACCCCAAAATTGTAATACACTTTCATAAACTACATGCTTCCGAATCATATTCACATAATGGCACTTCTACACTATAAAATGGAGTGAAATTAATATTGTGAGGGACTTGTCGATATCGATAAATTTATAGATAAACAGATAGATAACTTCTTTATTTGTATTGTATTCTCTACCAAGATAGGTGGGGGGTGGGGGGGGGGGGTATGCTTGAGCATGACGTACTAGCCACAACTGGCGGGCTGCCACTCATACCTTGAGCTGCGCTTAATTATGCGCTTAATTACGGTCCCATACACGGAACATTATCTAAGCATCCAAATTGGCACGTTTTTACAAGTGTTTGCTCCCAAAACTAGTCTACTCTCGAAAAGCTAGATGGAATTATTAGTAGCTAAAGCATATTATAGTGTAAACGAGTATCTAGCTGACAGTACTTTGTAAATGTATAAATACTTAATGAATTAATTGAATTTTTGACAAAACTAACCTACTAATATTGTATGCCTTTTAGGCAGATCACGGTGTAACTATTCAGTCCTTGCATCCAATATCTTTATATAACCTGTGATCAACAATAAAGATTGATTTGATTTGATTTGAAAAAATCCATCAAAATTGGATTAATATCGTACTTTTTGAATAAATAATTTAGTTCATTTCGGAGAGAGTACTTTGTGCTGCTGCAGTGTGTACAATATATCACATTAGGTCATTGCACCCGCGGTCGGCTATCACTCTCATAAAATCTTAACAAATAAATTTTGCGTAGATTTGCTTAAAAATAAAGATATAAAGGTTATCTAGGTTATCTAAAGTAATGCATAATAATTAGTCACGTTATATCTGAAATATGATTTTAAGCACCAATAATTGTTTCTTGTATTGATTATTTCATTTCATATTCAAAGAAAAACGGTTTGCTTTTTAGTTATAACTGGCTGGTGAGCATAGGTGATTGAAGTTGTTCGCCCTAACCACGTCACCTTTGATGTTCGTCGCTGCTATTTTTTTTGTCACAAACTATTGTGAATTGTGCAAGATTTTTCAAACAGTTAAAGCATTGATATTTAAGCAATCTATTTAATTTGAAATTTAAACTAAGTTTCGATTACTAAAACAACACATGAAAACAAATGTCAATGACCTATAGCTACTTACAGTGTATACAGCTGTTTCTATAATTCTGACGATATATTTACTCTATTTGTATATTACACCTACAAAACTTTTGCCATTGCATGTAAAATAGAGTGTGTACATATTATTCTATACGATTTATTGCATATCCATATAAATATTATTACCTGACTGTACACAATACAATAATAAAAACTCCTTATTATTTAAAAAAAATTAAAGATTTCGTTTATCAGTTACTGGAGGAGTACCTGACGGAGGCGGGCCTTCACGCGCTCGAGGCGAGTGAGGAGGACGGCGTGCTGGAAGACGGGATGGGGGCGGGGGTGGGGGCTGGGATCGCTCCCAACTTTACAGAGCTGGCGCTGCTGCTGCAACATTCGGCCAGTGTGTACGGACGCAAAGTGGATTTCCTATACCAGCACGTGCTCTCCGTCAGCGACTCGCTGCAGAACAGCGCGCAGTGAGTATACCATCTCTGCGCACTTGATGATTAAAAATTAAGCACGTTTTATGTCTTCATATATAAGGATATCTGATTAGGATTATTTTCTATGGGATAGGGAACGTGACGGTGTTCTTTGGTGAATATAATACCTCAAGACCTTTCTACTCAATGAGAACGTACGATCGGAGGAGGGCATACGCACAGCTGTATTCTGAAAAATTAAGTGTACTCACATAGAAACTAACAAGGTGAACGATCTTGAACTCTACGACATATGACTCACAGATCGGTTCATTCACATGCAAACGGAAAACAATACAGCAAATAGGTACGACTCGTTATACCTAGACCTTATATTCTATACTAGCTTTCCTCCAGCGGCTTCGTCCGCGTGGGCCACAGGGAACTCTTTATTTGGATAGCGATTCATGTTATGATACGGATATAATTACAATGATAAATTTAATAATAACAATGGATACTATTGTAACGTTTTAATTTTCTATACAAACTTCCACTCCCATTTTCATTCCTTTATTTGTTATTCTTTGGGATAAAATATAGTGTATGTTCACCGAGTATGATGTAGCATCCTGCAGATGAAAGAATTTTTAAGTATCATATCGGTATAACGAGCCGCATCTGTCCCGTATTTTGCATTAGTTTAAAACTAACTCGTAATCTCGTTTTCGGAGCATCGGGCTACGATATCTCGATTCGACATCGGGTTCAATCGGCACCGGATCGTGTGCGCTCACCGAGACGATCTCCAGCTCCTGTCGCCGTTCGCTCCGGAGCGTCTCGGGTTCGGACGTCGCCAGAGTCGTCTGTCGATCTAATAATTTATCGAGAATTCTATCGATCGGCCCCCCGTCATCACCATTCAGATTTTCCGTCCTCCGGCGGCGCCCGACGACCTCCGGAGCCGAGCGGGGTCGCCCGCCAGTTTCGAGAGGTCGCAGATAACGAATTCCGGGTTCGATTTCCGGGCGGGTCGAGGTTGAAAATGAGCTAATCTATATTATACTAGGCCGAGGAACGGGATATATCGAAGAACGATGTATGCGTAGAGAGGTGGAGCGCGCGGACGAGGCGGGGGCGGAGGGCGGCAGTAAGCGGCGACGCGTGGGGGCGGACGCGGGGGCGGGCGCGGGGTTCCAGCCCCTGGAGCTGACGGCGTGCGGGGGCAGCGCGCGCGAGGCGGGCGCGCCGCGGCCCCCGCCCACGCTCCCGCGCGTGTACATCGAGCTGGAGCCGCGCCGCCTCGCGCCCGGCGACCGCGTGTGCCACGACTACGGCGGGGAGCCCGTGGGGCTGCTGGCCGACTTCCACGTGGCGTGGCGGCTTCAGGTACCGACCGGCCTCGCCCGATTTCATGGGCCGGATCTCGCATTTTTCTGAGATCGACGAGAGTAGATTATAAAAGTTCTCTTCGCCCTCGGGGAACGCTGGCCTGGATACTTCGAGATTGATCGTTCCCTGGGTTTGTTTTCTTGAAGGATTTGTAACACCGATTTCGTTACGATACGCTTTTACATCTCGGAGAATATCTGTTTTTCTCACCCGACGAGATCCGTTTTAACTAGAGAAGTTCGACGTTGCGTACGGCACCGAACTGCATACTTTTCGACTCCCAACTTGCGATAGCTGGTTTCTGCGGTCCCAGCACATCCAAAGTAAAAAAAAAAAACGCTGAACGTGCCTGCATTCGGCACGATTCATTTTTGTACGCACGAGATATACCTAGGTATAACACTGATAACTATGATCTCGTTTAACGTCTCCCGTTTCCCTCGACGACTTATAGACATCATTTTTTAAACGAGCGAGTAAAGAAGACCGGTGTGTCGCCCTGACCGAGACTGAAATCTGAGAGTTGACATTTTTTATTATAATTTTTTAATAATAATAGGTTAATATACACCTATAAAATTCGTTTTTTTTTAAATCCAACTAAAATGAAAATAAAGCGTGATTTATTGACAATATTTAATGTTAATACAAAAAAGCAGCAATTTGGACTGTGACATAATTGTTCGTACTGAACGTTCAATTAATTGAAATACAGTTTTAACGTCGAGTCGATCTCGTCATAGATAATCAAAATGAATTCATGTGCCTATTGTCTATAATAACTTTCCTTACAATGAGGCCATCGTTTTTCTCGTGTCGTTTGCAGACACGTTTACAATCATTATTCAAAATGAGAAAGTTATTTGAAATTTTGTAATGAGTTAATGAACTTAATATTTTTTTAGGTTCAGTATCATTAACATTTTCGAACTACACATTGTGTACAGTTAGCACAGTCTTTTATGGTGTTAATAATGATAAAATAAAGTATTTGGTTGATTTTAAAAACAATTATATTACAATTCGGACGGCGGGGGATCATTTACACTAAATATAATTAGGTATACAAAGGTAGCGATCGCTGGGGGTGCGTTTCCTAAATCGTATCCTTAGTTCCGTCGTTGTGTATCAGGAGGGGATGCTGGTGGACGAGCTGGAGGGCTGGGACGGGGGCGGGGCGCGCAGCCTGCGGCCCATCCCGCTGATGGAGCTGCAGGCCGCCATCCAGGCCGGCGCGCCCCCCGCGCTGCCCCCGCGCGCCCCCACGCCGCCCCCCGCGGAGCCCGCGTCGCCCCCCTCCTGCCCCGCGACGCCGCCCCCGCCCGAGCCCGGCGGCGCGAGCACGCCGCTGCCGCTCCTCAAGAAGGAGAGGAAGAGGCGGAACGAAACCCCGATAGACGACCCGGCCGGGGGACGCTTCGAGATTCTCATTAGCAAAAGTTGGTGAATTGCGCTCCCTCCCCGCCGACCTGTTCAAAAAACTGCTCCGACGAACGATTCGAAAACCGATCTAGAGACACCCGGGCGCGCGGACGTCCCCGCAGGTTCAACGACGACTCCGAGCTCCGACGTTAATTAAAAATTGCAAAGTCGTCACGGGCGCTATCGAACTGATCACAAATCAGGTGGACGCCCGCGCGGCCGGGTGGAACTGTATCGTCGGACCCGAAGCGGTAGATGTCGTTAATGTTGACGTCGGGCCCCACGTGTGTGTGCGCAGAGGCGCGGCGGCGGCTGGCCGAGTGGCGCGAGTTCAGCGTGGAGGCGCCGTGGCGGGCCGCGGTGGTGCAGCGGCGCGCGCGGCGGCTGCTGCGGCTGCGCGCGCGTATAGGCCCCCCGCACGCAACAGGTGCGCACTCTATATATATACGTCTACATGTTACAAGTTATGTATTAAGGTGGAATTCATAGTAATAATGTCGTACCGAAAATGTATTGTTTCAGATTTTCGTGGCTTTGAGAGTTCACAGCTAGATATAGGAGGTGAGATTTTTTTATATTTGAACGATTGACTAGTAGTTGTTATCGAATATCTGAGTATCTGTTCCCCGCACGATCTAATCATTGTGCTGAACGCGCGCGCCCGTTCCGGCAATTCGTCGGGCGTTCGTGCCGGTTCGAACGCAGCGCTCGCATACTGTCTACTCGCCGCCCCCGAACGGAATTTCAATCGATTACGTCGGCGCCCGGATCCCGCGGATTTTGTCAAATTTTAAGAAATAAGTTAAAAAGTTTTCTATACGACCTGAAGTTTTTTATTTACGCATCGACAAATCGAAAACGGAAAAAAGAACACATCCCGTGAAAAGATTTTGCAGTGGGAAGTCGTTTGTGATTCGACGGGTGTGCCATCGCATCAGGTTTCGGGGGCTGGAGCCGCGAGGAGGTGGCGGAGGCGGCGGGGGCGGCGGTGGAGGCGGCGGTTGCGGCGGTAGCGGCGGGTGCGTTGGCAGAGACGACGGGGGCGGCGGAGGGCGCGGGGGCGGACAGCGACGACGACGGGTTCTTCGAGCAGAGCTCCCTCGGGGACTCCGACACTTCCCGCATCGACGACACCATCCTCCTCCCCCCCACCACCGCCAACACGCCCTCCGGCGGCATCGACGATTCGGTAATATACTATTATTAAGATATTTTCGAAGATCTACTGATCGGGTTGTGTAATTTGCAATGGTATTTGATTATTTTCTAAAACATTTGTGTTTTGTATAATTATTGTTTAACGCGACTAAAAAGTCGCGAAATAACATTGATCAAAATTGACAATAATCATCATATACTTAAAACATAAATTATGTTAAATATGAATATAAATTCTTAGCATGCGTACTAAATAGTACGTAGTAGAAAGAAATATAAAATAACAAAAAATAATTAATGGCTTAAATTTTATCAAATGTTATATTAATAACAATATAATTTAAATTAATATAGTCTCGTATAATATACTGTCGGACTACATCTATATCTTCCCATCAGTACTACTAATTGATAGCATTATAATACCTAATATATCGGTAGATTCTATTTGTAGTTTTTTGTATTTCTATTGATATCTAAGCTTCGAACTTTGCAAATTTCAGTTTTTTGATATGTTACTTAAAAGGAATCATTCATTTCTTGCAAAAATCCGTGTACCACGCCCCGCCCATAATCATCGGACAGTCGATTGTGGGCGGGGCGTAGTGGAAGAGCGCAAATGTCCGCGGTAGTACCTCGACGTGTACGTGTGCGTGGGCGTGTCCCTGCAGGTGTCGTGGCAGGCGGACGTGGCGGCGCGCGCGGCGGCGGCGGCGGCGCGCGCGCTCGACGTGCGGGCGGAGGCGGCGCGCGTGCTGCGGGCCCTGCCGCGTGCGGGCGCGCCCGCAGCCGCCGCCACTCTGCTGCGGGACACCGCGCGCCACCCGCACGAGGTGGCCGGCCTCTTCCTCGCCACGCTCTTCCTGGTCAGTGCATGGGCGGAAACATTAGTTTTTAGGAAAAAAATTAAACCCTTCCAGGGTCACTTTGAGAGACCCCTTTTCTCAGGAACGCGTGGAGGTATCGAACCGAAAGGAGATCGCCTTTTCGTTTTCAAAAAATAATGTTTTATTTGTATGTATTTACCGCTAGTTTTTAAGCCATTTTAGACCGCTTCAAACTGGTAGTAATTAATTAACGATTCGCCTGTGTCCGTAAAAATATGCATATTGAAAAAATAACGTTTCGTATACCTAGAGATTTTGTACGGAACCATCGATACCTACAGGTTTTTACGACTCGAACTTGACTGGTTTTTGTTTTTAAATGTATGGATGCAGTTTTTTACCCTAGAACGATGTTCCCGGTTTCTAATAACGGTTCTCGGGCTGTCTTTCGGTTTCACATTTTCCCGTTCTCGAAAATAATGTATGCCCTTCCGGGCGATCTTCGGGTCGGTTTACACGTAATCGAATAGTAGAGTTTTTACTTAATTTCAAATGTTTCAATACGTGTAAACACGCAAATAATTAATAAAGAGCGAATTAATATTTAATTCTAATTAAGCTCCAGTGTTAACTAAATTTCAACATGCTACTTATTTGAGTGTTTACACGTATTTCGAGCGGCCACATAGGGTGAGGATCGCTCGTATGATTACTGGAGATCTCGGGCAAGGGACGACCCTGTAAAAAAATGTTGGCCATCGGAGCTCCGCCCGATGGCCGCTCCGGCGTCTCTCGCGGCGAATTCGCGGCATTGACGGTACATGAGCGTGTTGCAGGCGAACGCGGGCAACGTGGAGATAGTGCCGGGCCCCCCCCTCACGCTGGACTCGTTCTCGGTGCGCCTCGTCACCGCCGACCCGCGCCTCTACTGCGCCGCCCCCGCCCCCGACCCCGGCCCCGGCCCCTCGCCCCGGTGAGGGCGAGTACGTTGTAGAGGACACTTAGAAAATTACCGGACCTCCCTGTCCCTTCTGCTGAAATCAATAGAACTCCCGAAAGTAAGTTTTGTCGGAGAGTGGTAACGTCGATGTTAGCTCGTTGTACTTTTGTGACGAAAGTTCTTATTGAAAATAAAATAGTGGAGACCCTGAGCTGTTCGGCGGAGCTCCCCGGTGTATGTATACTAATAAAAAACGCTAAATTGGAAATTAAACGATGTGAATATGACTTCATTTTATAAAAAAAAAACAGAGGGAGTCCACCTTTTAATTCTTAGACAAATCTGTGGTCGCATAATCGTAGTGAGTGTTTATTATTGAGAGGAATATTTTGATAATGCCTTCCGAGTTGTATATAGTGATAATAATATATTTGTAAATATAGAATAACATTTCGATCGTGGTGGGAACGTATTTTGTGAAGATATGACGTGGTCATTCTGTTGATGTGATCAATTTGTATATAGACGTATGGGAGGATTTGCTCTAACGATAATGATGTTAAGACAGCTAACGCGCGTCTGTCGGCGCACCGCGCAGATAACCTCCAATAAACACTTGTGAAAGTCGAGAGCTACGCCATCGGTTCGTAAATCTACGGCGGGAGACCTTGTACCGAGAAGAACCGGCAAGAAACTCGGCAAGGGCTGCTTTTTTCTCCCTGTTTTATGTCATACAGAGCGTCAAGATTGAAAAATTATATTACACAATATAAGAGTAAAACAGTATTTTCGTCAATCCAATCACATGTGTAGCCAAAGAAGCTCACCGATAAAAAATTTAATATATATGAAAAATAAGCCATATTTACCACCAAGCAGTTTTGTCGTTTAAATATTCATTAACAGTATAATATCCTTTACTGAGTGGACAATTCTTAATATGGGTTTTAAACTTAGGCAATGGTAAATTTAAGATTTCCTGTTATAGTAGTGTATAGTGAGTTATAATACCTTGACCCATAAATGACGATAGAACCTTCTTTAGCCTGCATGACGGCAAAACAAGTTTATCTTTGTTTCTAGTATTAAAATTGTGTACATGACTATGTTTAATATAATTGTTAATATTGTTTCTAACATAAAGTATATAATTTTATATGAATTAGGAGGCCACTGTTAATATCCCAATTTCTTTGAATTTATCCCTAAGTGACGTTCTTAAACCCAATTGATAATGAGCTTTTCATCATTAAGTTTAATTTCTGTAAGATCAGCTTTTACATTAGGTAACATAAATTTTATTACATTTCGTTTTTTTAGCATTTTACTGGAGATTATTTACAGTAAACCCGGTCATAATCTGTGAGAGAGCATTGTTTACATCGTTAACATTATTTTTACATCTATCAATATTAAAGAAGAAGTATCATCTGCAAACAATACTATATCGCATAAAGTTTCGGTAAAAAATGGCAAATCATTTATGTAAGTTAGAAACAGAAAGGGACCCAGAATAGATCCCTAGGGAACCCCCATTTTTACTTGTGATCCAGATGATCTCACACCGTTAATATCGATAGTTTGAGTTCTGCAACTGAGGTACGACAATATTAGTTGTAGGGCGGAGTCTTTGATACCATAGTAATTTAGCTTCGTTACTAGTGTTCGATGCTCAACGCAATCAAATGCCTTGGATAAGTCAGAAAATACTCTAAGAGCATTCTTAGACGCCTCCCAAGCTCCGAATATATGTTTAAGAAGTGCTACACCAGCATCAGCAGTAGAGCGACCTTTTGTGAAACCATATTGTTTAGTATGCAGTAATTTATTTAAATTAAAGTAAGACAATAACTGTTCAAGAATTAATTTTTCAAAGATTTTACTTAACGTCGGTAATATTGATATAGGTCTATAATTACTATGGGCTTCCCTATTTACGGATTTAAAAAGAGGCTTTGCTTTTGTTTAAACGATCCACGCAGAATCATAGTCGCTTAGCTACAGCTTACTGTCTTTCATGCGGCATCTATTGGAGGTTATCTGTGGCGCACCCTCGGTGGGTGTCTTGATTTTTTATTTTATTACTAACATTTTATTAATTTTAAGTATAATTATTAAGAGATCAGACCATTCGTCTGAGATGATCTTGTAAACATTGTACATATTATAAATTCGTATTTTGAGTGGTGATTCATCAATTTATAGAAAAAAAGAATGTGTTCTACGCGTTTTTATATATTGGTTTTATTGTAGCTGACTAAACCAAGGTATGATGAGAAATCTGTGCCTTACACTACACAGTACAGTAGGGTGCGCTGAACATAGTATTATTAGGTTTGTAATATATATTAATTTTTATGCTCCTTCTTGTTTATAATCTATGGCTGGCTATGGATGATACAATTCAATCATATAAGTACATAAATAACGAGAAGTCATTTAACTGATGTGATGATTATTGCTGTAATGTGCAAAGCCCTAAATACTAATGAGAATAATAGGTTAAAATACCTGTGACATGTTGCATATTGAAGAAATGTCGATTTCTTTGTACTCACAATGCAAACGATATGTAATTACTGTAATATAGCTCATGTGTTAAAATATGGTAAGTATTTGGTTGAACTTGTATGTGCAGGTGTATATATATATATGTTTAGAAAAATACAAAATTATTTTTACTATTTACATTGACGATACCGAATAAATCACTTATATGTGGCATTTAAAAAATGCAGTTTATTTTAGATGAAAGAAAATGTTTCACAAATTTTTATTATATATTCTACATTTTGTGAATTACTTTATATTTAGTTTATTATATAATTTTTTAAGATAATGAGTACCACGAACGTTGTCATGGTCTTTCTTAAAAAAATAAAATGCGTCTGAAGGAATAATACTGGTTTTATTATTACGTGTATGGCGATACATCAGTATCAGTAGCACCAGTCCCCTGGTGCCCTCACTCACCCCTCACTCCCGAACGCAATCGCAGTGCTCCTGCATACAATAGTAGTGTTGCCTGTGCGCGTTGCCCCTTGTGGCTCGGCACGCAACCTACATAAGGCCTCGGTTGCACTACGTAATCATTTCAAGTGGGCAACTTTCGCCGGTCGGTTGTTGTTTTATTGTGACCAATGATATGAGCCCACGCTCCGCGATTTGACCATATCGGTTTATGTAACCGAGCTATCAGAGAATATATTTAACTGAAACAATGGGAAATCATGTCATATTGTTTTATTTCGATTCATTTATTTATATTAAATAACATTTATTCTATATCAATAAATGTAACTTAATATTATTTATTTGTCGAAATCCTTGAGTCACCGTTATGATTAGACGTGTCGATTAATGCAATTAAACATTTACTTATAAATCGTGACCTAGGTCTACACTACGCGGATGTATTGTGGTGTTGAATGAAATATACATATATTAAAGTCTTGTTCATTTTATGTGTTTTAATTTTGGATAAAAAGAAATGGAGGGAAGTCCTTTCGATCGTAGCGCATTAACGCGTCGCAGCCCTCCGCCCACGCACACGCGACATCCCTCCGCGCCTGGTGTCCACACCCAAGATTCAGAACTTGGACGATTACCATTGAACAGTACTTGAATGAGGTGTGTTTCTACTTCTACTGAAGAAAAACTGAACTCTGATCAAAAATTGAGGATTAACATGTTAAAAAGTGAGTCGTGGAACATCCCAACTAGCAGTGCAATATCATGAGTCACTTAAGCATAAGACCATCCAGAACCATATGATCATACAAGGCATAAAAGAAAAACAAAGAAACTAAAGAAACGATTGAAGATAATTCTAAACAAGAAACGGAAACAGTTTGCTTTGCAGTTATAGTTTAAAAAAATAGAAAGATTTTATTCAACCCAGTAAAACAACAGCCCTTCTCCAAAGCATTATTAGACCTGATCGTCTGAGGCTGCACCTCAGAGGCTTACGTAAGACTAGAAACGATGGTATAATAACAGTAGAATCCCGATCAATTAAAACGAGGAGTATTCCGGATAGTCGATTTCAACGTAAAATCAATTAATTTTGAAAATTTAACCAATTTTTATTATGATATTGGGTTTCCATTGGTCATCGCATAGATGATACAATATATAAAAAACGCAAAGGCGTAGCTACTGCCGTATATGCCATATCAATTATACGGGCCCCCGGGCCACTGGGGACCCCCATCATTTAAACGCATTCGAAAAAAAATAAATAATGCAAACACTATAAATGAGAGGCTGGGGAGCAATTCTGTGTCCGGATGTATTCTATTGGTTCCATTTTTGTATGAAAATACAAAATAAGATTAATTGATTAGCGCTTTTGAAGTAAATTCGGACACCTGAGTGAATGAGATAATTTAAAAAATTAAAAATTTGTTCTTAAAATAAATTGAGTAGTAATAAAAGTTAATTGAGTATAGAAAATTAATAAATATGACATCGATTCGTGTTTCTTATAATATCTAACATTTAATTTTTTTTTGTTTTATTTTCATCTGCAATCAGCTTATTAGACTTTCAGCAAATTTGTTCAGTGTTTTTCTCTGTGGGAGCGTGACTCCAGTGAGCCATCTACTCTAAATTGCTATTTAAGTCTCCGGAGGATGGAGAGACTATAATATGTCTTTTCTTTTCAGGCGTTTCGAGTAAGATTTTATCCTCAGTGCTGCAGCAAGGTCATTGGGATGTCTTTCTAAACGTTCTTGGTATCTTTCTTTGTGCTTTTGAATTTCGGTGTCTATCATTAGCTCTTTATGTATTTCGGTATTGGTGATGAACCAAAGAACATCACTTATTGAGCGCAATATAGCGTTCTGCATCCTTTGAATTTTGTTAATATTTGATCTGGATGCACTGCCCCAAAGCTGGATTCCGTATAACCATATCGGCTTAATGACGACTTTGTAGATGAGGAGTTTATTGTCTGTACCCAATTTGCTGTTGCGACCCATAAGCCAGTGAAGGTTTTTGAATCTAATATTGAGTTCTTGCCTCTTGGTCTTTATA